GAAAAGACAGTCCATGCCAATAGGAACCCAAAGAGAGAAGGTGTAGCTATACTAATATCAGACAAAATAGACTTTAAATCAAAAAAGGTTACAAGAAACAAAGGACACTATATATATTAATAAAAGGTTCAATCCAGAAAGATATAAAAATTATAAACATTTATGCACCTGACAGACCATCTAAATATAAGAAGCAAAAACTAACAGAATTGAAGGGAGAAATAGACAGTTCTACAATAATAGTTGGAGACTTCAATACCCCACTCACAGTAATGGATAGAACAAGACAGAAAATAAGGAAAGAAATAGAGGACTTAACACAATAAACAAACTAGATCTACCAGACATATACAGAACACTCTACCCAACAACAATAGAATACACATTCATCTCCAGTGCACATGGGACATTTTCCAGGATAGACCATACGTAGGCCACAAATTAAGTCTAATAGACTTAACAAGATAGATATCATACAAAGTATCTTTATTGACCACAACAAGATGAAGTTAGACATTAAAAACAAAAGGAAAATTGGAAAATTCACAAAACTGTGGAAATCAAACAACTTACTTTTAAAGAACAAATGGATCAAAAAAGAAATCACAAGGGAGATTAGAAAATACTTAGACATGAATGAAAAGAAAAACACAACAGACCAAAACTTCTGAGAGGCAGCAAAAGTGGTGCTAAGAGGGAAATTTGTAGCTATAAATACTTACATTAAAAAACAAGAAACATCTCAAATCAACAACCTAACTTTACAACTTAAGGAACTAGAAAAAGAAGAACAAACTAAACCCAAAGCTAGTAGAAGGAAGGAAATAATAAAAATTAAAGTAGAGATAAACAAAATAGAGAATAGAAAAATAGAGAAAATCAATGAAACCACAGTTGGTTCTTCAGAAAGAGCAACAAAATCTACAAACCTTTAGCTAGATACACTAAGAAAAAAAGAAGACTCAAATTACTAATATCATAAATGACAGTGGGGACATTACTACTGATTAAACAGAAATAAAAAGGTTTATAACAGAGTACTATGAACAACTGTATGCCAAAAAATTGGATAATCTAGATGAAACAGACATATTCCTGGAAACATACAACCTAGCAACACTGAATCAAGAAGAAATAGAAAATCTAAACAGACCAATAACAAGGAGATTAAATCAGTAATAAAAAATCTCCCAATAAAGAAAAGCCCCAGACCTGATGGTGTCACTTGTGAATTTTACCAAACATTTAAAGAAGAATTAATACCAATCCTTCTTAAACTCTTCCAAAAAATTGAAGAGGAAGGAACACTCCCAAACTCATTTTACAGGGCCAACATTACCATGATACCAAAGCCAGATAAAGATACTACAAGAAAACTACAGGACAATATCCCTGATGAATACAGATGCAAAAATTCTCAACAAAATTCTGGCAAACCAAATTCAACAGCACATTAAAAGGATCATACACCACAATCAAGTGGGATTTATCCCTGGGAGGCAAGGATGGTTCAACATATGCAAATCAATAAATGTGATACACTACAGACTAAAAGATGCAAATCATATGATCATCTCAATAGATTGCAGAAAGGTATTTCACAAAATTCAACATCCTTTCTTGAAAACTTTCAACAAATTGCATGTAGAAGGAACACAGCTCAACATAATAAAGGCCGTATATGACAAGCCCACAGCAAACATCATACTCCATGGTGAAAGGTTGAAAGCTTTTCTTCTAAGATCAGGAACAAGACAAGGATGCCCACTCTCACCACTCCTATTCAACACAGTACTGGAAATCCTAGCCAGAGCAATCAGGCAGAAAAAAGAAATAAAAGGCATCCAAGTAGGAAAGGAGGAAGTAAAATTGCCTCTATTTGCAGATGAAATGACCTTATTGAGAGAGAACTCGAAAGACTTTCCAAAAATCTGTTAAGTCTAATCAATGAATTCAGTAACATTGCAGATGAAATCAATACACAAAAATCAGTAATGTTTTTATATGCTAACAGTGAATTATCTGAAAAAGAAACAGTCCCATTTGCAATAGCATCAAAAACCAATGTTAGGGGCCGGCCCCATGGCTTAGTGGTTAGGTGCGCACGCTCCGCTGCTGGCGGCCCGGGTTCAGGTCCCGGGCGTGCACCGATGCGCCGCTTCTCCGGCCATGCTGGGCCACAACCCACGTGCAGCAGCTGGAGGGAGGTGCAGCTATGACATGCGGCTGTCTGCTGGGGCTTTGGGGGAAAAATAAATAAAATTAAAAAAAAAAAAACCAATGTTAGGAATAAATTTAACCAAGCATGTGAAAGATCTGTACACTGAAAACTATAAGCTGATGGAAAAAATTGAAGAAGACACAAATGGAAAGATATCCTGTCTTCAAGGATTGGAAGAATTAATATTGTTAAAAAGTCCTAAAATTCATATGGAGCCACAAAAGACCCAAAATAGCCAAAGTAATCCTGAGACAAAAGAACAAAGCTGGAGGCATCACACTTCCTGATTTCAAACTATTTTATAAAGCAATAATAATCAAAACAGTATTGGCATAAAACCAGACATAGAACAAGGGAAAAGAATCGAGAGCCTGGAAATAAACCTATACATATATAGTCAACTAATATTTGATAAAGGAGCCAAGAATACTCAATAGATAAAAGACAGTCTCTTCAATAAATGGTGCTGGGAAAATTGGATCTTCACATGCACAAGAATGAAACTAGTCTCCTTTCTTACATGACTCACAAAAGTTAACTTGAAATGGATTAAAGACTTAAATGTAAGACCTGAAACCACAAAACGCCTAGAAGAAAACATAAGGAAAAATCTCCCTCCCCAAGACATTGGTCTTGGCAATGACTTTTCAGGTGTGACTCCTAAAGCACAAGTAACGAAAGCAAAAACAAACAGGTGGGGCTACATCACGCTAAAAAGCTTCTGCACAGCAAAATAAATGATCAAAAAATGAAAAGGCAACCTACGGAATGCGAGAAAATATTTGTAAACCACATATTGGATAAGAGATTAATATATAAAATATATAGGGAACTCATACAACTCAAGCAAAAAAACTCAAATAATCCAAATTAAATGGGCAAAGGACCTCAAGACATTTTTCCAAAGAAGATATTCAAATGGCCAATAGGTACATGAAAAGTTCAATACCACTAATCATCAGGAAATGCAAATCAAAACCACAATGAGAGATCACCTCACACCTGTTAGGATGGCTATTATCAAAAAGACAAGAGATAACAAGTGCTGGTGAGGATGTGGACAAAAGGGAATCTTTGTGCACTGTTGATGGGAATGTAAATTGGTACAGCCATTACGGAAAATAGTATGGAGGTTCTTCAAAAAATTAAAAATAGAACTACCATATGATCCAGCATTTCCACTTCTGGGTATATATCCAAAGGAAAGGAAATACTATCTTGAAGAAATATCGGCACCTCCATGTTCATTGCAGCATTATTTACAATAGCCAAGAAATGGAAACAAGTATCTACTGATGGATGAATAGATAAAGAAAATGTGGTATATGTGTATATATATATATAATGGACTATTATTCAGCCATAAAAAAAAAAAAAACAAGAAAATCCTGCCACTTTTGACAGCATGGATGAACATCAAGGGCATTGTGCTAATTGAAATGAGTCAGACAGAAAGATAAATACTGTATGATCTCACTTATATGTGAAACCTATAAAACAACTCAGAAACATGGAACAGATTGCTGGTTGCCAGTGGTGGGGATGGGGGTGGGAGGTTGGGGGAAATGAGTGAACATGGTCAAAAGGTACAAACTTTCAGCTATAAGCTCTGAGGATGTAATGTAGAGTTAAAATACTGTATTGTATATTTGAAAGTTGCTTAAAAGAGTAGCTCTTGAAAGTTCTCATCACACACACAAAAAAGTAACTATGTGAGGTGATGGATGTGTCAACTAAACTTACTGTGGTTAATCATTTTGCAATATATACATATATCAAATCATTATTTTGCACACCTTAAACTTATACAATGTTATATGTCAAGTATATCTCAATAAAGCTAGAAAAAAATTAAAAACAGATGAAGTCTATTTATTTCCCAACTATTAATCCTCATTTTTACTGTGTTGCTTCCTTTACTGGCTTACGGTTTATTCTGTTTGTTTGATAGCTTCTTGACTTGAGGCTTAAGTTTTTTTTTTCAAAAGTTTATCAATCTCTCACATGCCCGGCATAGTATAGGTGCTGGGTATAGAGTGCTGAACAACAACAAAACAAGGTTCTCATCAAAACAATCTTGGTTTCCTGTGTAAGGGTACTATATAGGGTACTAACTTTATAGAAAGCATAGCTTCAGCCACATCCCATAAATTCAATTATGTTGACATTTTAATGTCGTTCATTCCTGAATTGTCTGTTTCAATTTTTATTTTGTTTGATCCAGGATTTAAATACACATTATAAATTTCCAAAGAGGTGACAAAGTCTCTCCAGAAAAATTACTTACCAACTGCAAACCACATCTTTACCATGGAGATCTGAAAGCCATCATCTTACCCAAATGATCAAATTTAGTTTCACTAACAATGTAATGACCTGTCCTTAAATGTTTTCTGACATGCTGCAATATGACATACAAACAAAACAAAGCATTCTTCCCCCCAAAACATTTAATTTGAATGTAATGGAGCCTCTAGACCTAACTTCCTTTGTACAGAAAATACAAAGGACAGAGCAAGGCTAAATGACACTATAAGGAAACAAAAAATCTAAACACCTGGCAGACAATTTTCCTGGACTTCTCAAAAACTCAACATCATAAAAAAGAGAATGTTCTAGACCAGTGGCTCTCTAACTGTGGTGCATATCAGAATCACCTGGAGAGCTAGTACAGAACAGAAAGGCCCAGGCTCACTGCAGTAGGACAGGGCCCAAACCTTTATTTTTACCACGTTCCACAGATGATTCTGATACCCAAGAAAATTTGAGTCACTGTCCCAGACTAAAAGAGACTAAATAGAGCTAACAACCAAATACAATGCAGAATCTAGAATGCATTCTCCTTAGAAAATAAACAGCTGTAAAAACAATTTTAGAGGCCAATGAAGAAATCAGAATACAAGGTATTTTCCTTAAGGGTAATTATGGTACTATGGCTACATATGAGATTTGTCTTTATATTTGGGAAACACATACTGATGTAATAAGGGATAAAGTATCATGATATCTAAAACATATTCCCAATGATATAACAAAAAATATACAGAAAAATAAACATGTCAAACAGTTAACTTTGAATCTAGGCAGGGATATGGGGGTGTTTATTTAACTATTCTTTCAACTTTTCCATATGTGTAACAATTTTCATGATAAACTGTTGGATAATATATAGGTGGATAGTTTTAATTTTGCCATTCTTTTGTTAATATCTAATTTATCTTAACTTCTGGACAGAGAACATAAATTATACATTTTCTGCCTATTGAAATTTTTATAGACAAATCACTTCAAAAACTCTCTGATTCTTCAACAGCTATATTTTCAACATCTCCACACTCATTAAATCCATAGGGTTTCTTTCCAGCATTAACTTTTTGATGTAACTTAAGGAATGAGCTCTTAATGAAAATCCTCTCATTCTTTACATTCCACTAGATTTTATCCAGAATAAGTTATTTAAAATTTAAAAATGAATGGATGAGGCTTTTCTAAATTACTCACAATACAATTTTCCTCTCACATCAATAACAGTAATGCTAATGAAACAACAATGTAAAAGCTATTCTTTACAAGCACAGGCATGTGCCAAATACTCTTTCAAGGATTTTATATGTACCATAATACATTTATTCCCATAATTGCACTACTAGGTAGGTACTCCCTACTGCTGCCATTTACAAATGATGCAAAAAGAGGATAAGCATCTAGCCTGATGTCACACAGGTAGCGAAATGGCAATGATGATAAAGAATGTGCCTCAGGTAGATGTTTTCTTACATTTGTTCCAATAACAGTTTTTCTCTAGTTTGGGTGTGAAGGTTTTTGTAAGTTTATGAATTAACATATCTAGTAAAATGTCTTTTATGGTTAGTAAATTGTGAACATGAAGGCTACCCTATATTCCTTACACTCAAAGACTTTCTCATCAGAAGTCTTCTCTGAATTCTAAGGTGTTTACTGTAGTAGACTACAAATCTTTCCACATTACTTATACTCAAACAGTTTCTCACCAGTATCAATACTGTGCTGTTGAGCAAATCTCAGACCATGATGAAAGGTCTTCCCACATTCTTTTATATTCATAAGATTTCTCACCAGTATGAATTCTCTGATGTGGAGTCAATTGTTCATACCCAGTGAAGGTTTGCCCACATTCCTTATATTCATAGGACTTCTGATGATTATCAATTTTCTGATGTCGAGTAAGCTGACCATTCATGGTAAAGGCTTTCCCACATTCTTTACATTCATAGGGTTTCAGACCTGTTTGAATTCTTTGATGGGCAATAAAAACTGAACTAAGTGTAAAAGCCTTCCACCATTCCTTACATTCATAGGGTTTCATGCCAGTATGAATTTTCTGATGTGCAGAAAGAACTGAACTAAGTCTAAAGGTCTTCCCACATTCCTCACATTCATAAGGTTTCTCACCAGTATGAATTCTCTCATGTTGAACAAAGTCTGAGCTACAACTAAAGGTCCTTCCACGTTCTTTACATTCACAGGGTTTCAAACCCATATAAATTCTCTGATACACAGTAAAGACTGAACTAAGTGTAAAAGTTTTCCCACATTCCTTACATTCCTAAGGTTTCTAACCAGTATGAATTCTCTGATGCACATTAAGTTCATAATTATTGCTAAAGGCCTTCTCACATTCCTTACATTCATAGGGTTTCTCACCAGTATGAATTTTAACATGTTCAATAAGGTTTGAGCTATGACTAAAGGCCTTCCCACCTTCCTTACATTGATATGGTTTCTCATCCGTATGAATTCTCTGAGGTACTGTAAGGTCTCTACCATGAGTAAAGCACGCCCCACATTCCTTACATTCATTGAGGTTCTCACCAGTATGAATTCTGTAATGTCCAAGAAATTGGTAATCATGTTGAATGGCCTTCCCACATTCCTTACATTCAAAGAGTTTCTCACCAGTGTGTATTCTCTGATATACTTTAAGGTCTGTACCACGACTAAAGCCCCTTCCACATTCCTTACATTCATAGGGCTTCACACCACTATGAATTTGCTGCTGGTCAATAAGTCGGTACTGATGTCTGAAGGCTGTCCCACATTCCTTACATTCAAAGGGTTTCTCACCAGTATGAGTTTTCTGATGTTGAGAAAGTTGTAGGTGAAGTCTAAAAGCCTTTGCACCCTCCTTACATTCATTCATTCTCACCAGTATGAATACTCTGATGTTGAACAAGAGCTGAGCCACAACTGAAGGCCTTCCCACATTCCTTACATTCAAATGGCTTCTCACCAGTATGAATATTCTGATGTTGAGTAAGCTGTGTCAGAAGATGAAAGCCTTTCCCACATTCCTTATATACAAAGGGTTTCTCACTAGAATGAATTTTCTGATGCTGAATAAGGTTTGAGCCACGATTAAAGGCTTTCCCACATTCCTTACATTCATATGGTTTCACACCAGCATGAATACTCTGATGTTGAACAAAGTTTGAGGCACGATTAAAGGACTTCTTACATTCTTTACATTCAAATGGCTTCTCACCTGTATGAAGGTTCTCATGGCGATTAAGCTGGGTAGGAAGACTAAAGGCTTTTCCACATTCCTTAGATTCAAAGGGTTTCTCACCAGTATGAAATATTTGATGTCGAGTAAGTTGTATATGAAGTCTAAAGGCCTTCCCACATTCCTTACATTCAAAGGGTTTTTCAGTATGAATACTCTGATATTGAACAAGGTTTGAACCATGACGAAAGAATTTCCCACATTCCTTACATTCAAAGGATTTCTTTCCAGTATGAATACTCTGATGGTGAACAAAGTTTGAACCACGATGAAAGAATTTCCCACATTCCTTACATTCAAAGGGTTTCACACCTGTATGAAGTCGCTGATGCTCAGTAAGTTTGTACTGATGTCTGAAGGCCTTCCCACATTCCTTACATTCAAAGGGTTTCTCAGCAGTGTGAGTTTTCTGATGCCAAGCAAGATGTATCAGAAGACTAAAGGCCTTCCCACAATCTTTACATTCAAAGGGTTTCTTGCCAGTGTGCATTCGGCCATGTTCAATAAGTTGGTAAGGATATTTAAAGCCTTTCCCACATTCTTTACATACAAAGGGTTTCTCACTAGAATGAATCTTCTGATGCTGAA